AACACATAAGGACAAGTTGTGTGCATGTAAAGATTGAAGTTTAGGTGTTAGATATGTAAATACATAAAAAGAAAAGGAAAATCTACACACCTACTTTCAGAATTTGGATGTTATATATGTAAATATTTTAAAATTCGAAAATTACAAATGATAAATGAATCCTTTCATGTTTTTAAATGTGAGGCACCAAAGACCTCCAACAATTGAAAAAGATGAATAAACCTTTCCCATTTTTTATTAAAATGCAACCCAACATCTCAGATTTTCGCAAACGAGCCTCCCAAGGCAAATAATTGGAACCATTCATGACGCTAGCAATGTGTGTGTATATATATATATATATATATATATGAGAAAAGGAGTTGTAAGTATGTAAAGGGCCTCAACATGTATTAAGCACGCAAAAGATAGATAAATAAAAGTCGGAGAGGCATGTAGATGGATCATCTAAATTGGCAGCCGAGAAAGCACCCAAACAAGTGGCCTAAACAAACCACGAACAATCCCAAGAGATCATCTTACATGTCTCAACCTGCTGCCAAACTCCACTAAAAGTTATAAAACTGCAGCTCCAACCTTAATGAATAAAGTGTCAAAGTGCCACATAAGCTATGAAATAGACCAGAGAAATGTATCTAAACCTTCCCAAAAGCGGGCCAAACCGCAGGCCAACACTCGTCGAAACCAAACAACAAGTCCAGAAATTTTACTTAGATGAATCGTGGAAACCTCATCTTTGAAATTATGCAAGCAACAAATCAATTTCCATGATTTCCATAAAACAAATTCATGCATAAATTTTCATATCTTCATAACATAAGGTAGTTAAAAGCCCTCAGATTTCACAAATAAGCCACCCAAAAGCTTTCATATTTTGCAAAAAGAGCACCCAAATATTTCAGATTTCACAAATAAACCACCCAATGCTACACATGCTCCACATTTCATGTTTAAGAAATTAAACCTTCCAGCAACTCAACAAAAACATCAAAAAGTAGAGCAGGTATATCGAGCAGCCAAGCGAGAATACATAGTAACCATGCGAGGGAATCAAAAGACTAGCAAGATCACGGAAGAAATGTTACCTCTTGGCGTAAATCCAAGCAAATGCAAGAATAGAAATATTTCTACAGCACCTCCTTCTATCGAAGCTCTTTTGAACCAACCCAAAATCTCAATGGCCAAACAAGCGGCCAAGCAAAGGTATCGAGTGGACCAGCAAGGAGTGCGAGGAACTCGGTCAAAGTGTCGAAAAAACAAGTAGCACGAGCAAACAGAAAATCCGGCAGCACCTCCCATTTCCCCAAAAGTTTCGGCTCCGAAACCTCTACAAATCTTCTCCACAGCACTTCTAAAAGGCCTTAAGCACACGAGATGAACAGAGCAAGAAAAAATCAAACCAAGGAGATTTAGAGGAGATTTTGGCAGCACCTCCACCGTCTCAAAAAATTTTCGGCCAACCCTAAAACTCCCCAAGTAAGGTTTTATAGCAGAAAAGGGAGGAGAAGCCTCTCCCGTCACTTACCTGGGTGGTGAGCCGAGCCAAGAGAAACGACAAGTCGCGCGGGAGAAGACGACGAGAATCGCAGAGGCGTGGGAGAGGAAAGCCGGAACGCGTCAGAAGGAGTAGGTGGAAGCTTTTCAGAGCACGAGGGTACCTCGAGGAAGCTTCGCGAGAAGAATCGGGCTCGGCTGGGGCATGCGACTGAGAGGAAATGGGCGGGACTCGCAAACGAGAGAGGGAGGCAAGGCGTGAGCCCTGAATTTCGTGATTTAGAGCTTTAAAAGGAAACAGAGGAGATTCATTCGTTTTTATTAATATATATATATATATATATATATTAAATTTCATGAAATTTATGCGTGCGCGGTGCCGTAACAA